CGATGAAAACGTTCCCGCTTGGGTTGGAATGACACATCGTCGCTCCTTGTTAGGGTCGCGAATGGTGAGCATTTGATTCCCATTTCCAAAGTTTTCCAATTTTGACTCGGTAACGATGTCGAACGGTCGTCCCAACAACACCTCATACGCTACTTGGTCGATAACGTGGACTTGCAGATACACGGGTATGTCCCCAAACAAGAAACAAACGTTCCGCTAATCCAGCCGACTTCTTCAGTTGCCGGTTCGCTCTGCATGTAGATTTGCAGATCTGGATCCCAAGGGATTCCCAACCGCTCAGCTACCGATAACGCCATCGAGACTATCTGAGAGCCACTGTCTATAACGCATTCCACATGTTCCCTTGCTGCGATTAACGGCCATACAACTCGTAACGACGCAGAGTCCTTTCCCGAAAACACTTGTTTAGGCGGTTCTCCTGGGGATAACGGCGACATACTGCAGATAAGGGTCGGTGCTAACATAACACCCTTCCTTTATCCCGTATTGACGATCTTCCTCAGTCGAGATATAGAACGAATCAACCATTGGTAGTTCATCTATATCCACAGCATCATTTTGGAGTCGAGCTCGACACCCTCGTCCTCCATGAATGGATATTCCGATCCTTCGTCAAGTTTTCCGTTAAGTAACACTGGCTTTATCGGTTGCCTCGTTCGATTCGTTGACTTCCTCATAGCTTTGGCATATTCTGGCGGCGAGATCAAATCGCCCACGGTAATATCGTGTATACGACTGTACTCTCCGTTTTCTCAACAATACGCTTAATAATATTTGGGTCATCGAACTTGGTAGCCAATTTATACGCCCGTTCCTCGCCGTTCTTGCGTTTCCCGTTTTCGCCCTGGAGATTCCGAATGAGGAGCCATCCTCGCTGCGTATTCAAATTTCTCATCTTCCGAGTCTTCTCCTCTGAAACGCGCCTTTCGTCTCTTCTTCGGCACATCCTCTTTTTCCAACACTTCGGGTTCTGTTTCTTCTCCACTATCCGATTCGACTCCTCCTCCAGTTCTCTTCGGTCCTGCCTCCGTTTTGACGTTTCCTTCGCAACTTTAGATCGGTTCTCAAGAGACTTCGTTGCCTCGGAAGCCTTCTTTCGTTTGCTTCCGGTCTCCATCCTCGAACTATCTAAAAATTTTGGTTTTCCGCCAGCCGAGTTGTCTTTCTGCGAACGTGTGTTTGCGTACTGTGACTCCATCGACTGTCCTCCCGATTGCGAACCCGACCCCGGCGAATTCTGCATTGCCTGGACCATGTTATACATCGTCAAGAACTGTTGAAAGTTCGAATCCCCTGCCCGGCAAGCCCGGTTGAACGGGCGCTTGAATGAAGGAAGGATAAGCTTTCGTTCCCAACTCCACTCTCCCCCATTCGCTGCTGCGTTCTTCCACCACTTCCGTTTTGCACCATGGGTTCCCGTTGAAGGATCTGTGGATAGGTCTGCACTGGTGCTTGAGGACTTGAAAAACGCTGCTGTTGGCCACCAGTCGACATGCTATTGGCTTGCACTTGCTTCGCCATAGCCGCCATCTGGGCCCGTAACGAACGGATTTCGTCTTCGCTTGTGTCATACAAGAGATTGTATTGCTCGTTCGGAGTATACTCGTTGAAGAACGACGATTGATAGTTCACTTGCGCGTTCCCAGTCGTTCCAGCTCCTCCTCCCTTGCTATACCAATCCAACACTCGTTGATAACGTGACACGTTCTCAGGATACTTGGGGATATAATATCCACCAGGTAATCGCAAACCCCCATTCTCCATAACGATCTTTCCTTGGTCCAATAACGCCCTCTTTTTCGGACAATCCCGCACCATATGCCCAGTCTCTTCGCAGAAATGACACTGTTCATTTCCTTGCATTCCACCATAGTTTCGCTCTCTCCACCCTGGCGATATTCTCGTTGAGGCTGCCCTTGGTGCTGGTGAGTCGCTGTTTCCTTCGATCTAGACTCAGTTGCTACATGCATCTGCTTCATAGTCTCAATCAACTGCTTATCCCCGCACGGCCATGACGTCCTTTAACGCATTTATTTCCAGCGCAAAACTCTCCATTTGGTCTCTAAACTCCGACTTGACCCTCGTATCCGAGGTTAACGGTCCTCCACTGAGATTCGACATCGAGATCGATGGTTTAGCATCATCCCTCGATACCGCATCCGCTTCTCTGCCCGACCAGTTGTTCGCAAGCCATGCCACCACCTTGAGAACCTCCTTGTAGCTCCAACGATCCCCTCTACGAGTGTTTGCTGCGTTCTGATTTGCATTTGCGTTTGGCCCTAGAATATTCGCGATATTTGGCTGGTTCAGCGCCGCTTCGACTGCTGACGCGAAATCGCTACGCAACGTATTCAAGATCAAGGACACCAACTCTTTGTTCGTGACCAACGAGGGAGGCAGGAGTAGTTTCTCTGCTTCTGGTACGAAGAACGCACAAAAACGAGTAACCAACCCCAAATCCTCTCGACTCGCCCCCTTGGCTTCCGCGCAAATCTCTCTCAAACGCCTCCTCGACCCTTCGTTCACCTCATCCAACTCTGGATACATCGACTTTATCGCCGTTTTCCACTCTTGAACGTTCCTCCTCCATATGGCGTCAAGTTCTTCCACGCTTCCTTCACATATCGAGTATCCAAATACCGCAACACCGTCTCCTTCTTTTCCGCCGCTTCAGTAATACTTGCCTGGTCGATAATGCGATCGCATTCGTCTAGGAATTTCTCCAACTTGCCAGGAGTCTTCCCATCGAAACTTCGGACGACCCGAATCCCAGGTTTCCGGTACCTTAAAACGCGCAGCCGCTCCTCCCAGACCTCCATTATTTACGTTTCCGTTATCCCCCATGTTGTTGTTTTGTTCAATCGGTTGTTCGTTAATCCGATTTGTGTTGTGTTCACCTTCAGATAGGTCCGTTAAAGGCGAAGATGGTGTCGACGATTGCTGTTCTTCTTCGACTGTAGTGTTCCTTTCGGTTGTTTTGCGCTTTGTAGCTGGTTTTGTTGGTAAGCGCTTTTTGCTCGATGCTTGAATCGGTTTTCGCGACGAAGATGCTTGAGGTTTCGTCGATTTTTGTGGTGCTTCTCTGTTCCGAGCTCCTTGTGAGTTGAGCGTGGTTCTCGGTGTTGGTTTCTTCGTTAATTTGGGAACGAAAAGTGGTGTTGGTCGCAGTTCTCCAACGCCTCTTAACAATCCAGGGAAGTCGTTTGGTTGGGAATCAGTGAGATCTTTCTGTTTCCCTTTTGGTGGAATTTTGTTCTTTGATCCAAGCGTGTGGGCGCTTGCTTGTCTTCTTTCTTGTCACAGCTGTTTTTGCACTAAACAGAGTTCTTTGCAATATAACACTCGATCACCCCTCGCGGTGGGCTCCAGATGATGAGGGTGGATGACGGGTGGGGAGACCGGAGATGAGACCGACACTACACAACTAAAACTCAACAACAAAACAACAAATAGTCGTTCTGTCTGAGCGATAACCGTATAACACCGTTCCAAACGTCCAACAACCACCAATAACCGTCTCCTAATACGAGTGCAGAACCCTGGGAACAGAGCCTGTACACGGGTGTGCAAGGTTGTAGGGTAGATCGAATGAAATCTTGTTAAAGATTTGTTTTGTGGTTGTCCTTAAGCGTACTATCGACGAAATCCAGCAATAGGAAAGCGCCAATACGATGCCCAGAACCGTTTATACTCGTTTGGATCAGGAACTAACTGCCTTAAACCCAAGGAGTCGTCTCAAGTCAGGAACTAACTGCCTTAAACTCTCGACCGCCAACCGAAACCAAGTATACGCCAACCGAAACTCTCTTATACGGCAACCGGAACCCTCAACTCTTTGATCACAACGCCTTTTTACTTGAATGAAAGAGCTAGCAGGATGATATTGACAAGCTAGATCCCCAGATGCACCTAGTAACGCGGGGCAATCCGTGAATCGCTCAAATACAGGACAGAGATATAAATACTAAAACAGAAAATGATAAGATCAGGTAAATCGCCACAACAGAATGATGGTCCATGTGCATAATTTGTAAGGTATCGTTTCGCCATAAGGCCCAGAGTCGAAAATCCAGGTCTAGATGACCGGTAGCGCGTGTTTGGTGTCAATGACCTTTGTAAATCCTCCTTTATTGCGACCGTCTATGCGTTTTTGTGAACGGTCCGCTAACTGTTGTTGTTATCGTCGTGTTGCTCCACTTCCTAGCTTTCCATCGATATCCATGACTTGAGGTTAACCGCCAGACACCGTTAGGCAAATCTCTTAACGAGATAATCGCAATCTGTTGTCAAGTTGTTTGGTTGGACGGTTGCGGGTTAAGGTCGCCGCGATCTACAGCCAAGCCCTCGTTTCCACTGAGTCATGCTTCCCGTTTAACCGCACCTCCACATGTCCTTATCCTTGCGTAAGTTCCGAAACCGCGTTCCAATGCTGTCAGGGACTGATCCGTTCGAAGCCTGGTTGAACCGTCGTTGGAGCGTTCTGAGTTCGAGTCCCAGCGCGTGCCAGACCGAATATGCCTTTTGGTTTACACTCCCTTTTGGTATATATATAGGATTGGATGGATCCTCTATGTTGGTTGGGCTCTGCTGTTGTTTTTGGTTGTTGTAAGAGTCGTTCTGAACGGCCAGTTGCTATCAACAACGGTCGAATCGAAACGCCTCTTCGCAGATATCTCCCTAACTGGCCATTCGGGACTCATGCCAGTTCCTAGACGTGCGCTGTAACCATGAAACGAACAAAAATAGTGGTTTCCTATGTGTGTTCCAGAATGCGGCTTATCACCGGAGCTCCTTGATCAACTTGAAAGTGGCAAATTAGGGCCCTTCCACGTGAACGTGGTGGAGACTTGCCACATCCTCAACAATGTCATCCTCGAAAACGTCCAACCAGGTAATGTCATTGAAATCTGTTGTATCCTGTGGCCAATTGCAAGGAAGATAGCGGAGCAACTACCTTGACTATTCTTCGCAATTTCGGTATGGGAACACTGGTATCTGTTCTAATCGATGAAGCCCAAGCAAAGGACGACAAAGCCTCATCTTCTGGAGTTCACGACCTTCGCAATATCATCACACTCGAGTCCAGCGCCCATAACCTCTTTGAAAAACTGAGAATGACTTTCGAACCGGTTCCGGACAGCGAGGTCGGTCAACTCCATCGTCCTGTTGCACGATTCCAATACTCCATTCTAGAACACCTACAACATCAAGTTTATGCACGCATATCATATCCTCCCTACCGCGAAGCAGACGATCACATTCGAGAATTGGGCTCCTACCCACAAGATCGCTCATGCCAACACAAAACTACCTTTGCCAGACCCTCGCCTCCTCAGCCTGCATTGCGCTTGTGCCCACGTTGCCCACTTATCAGGTGCAGGAGAAATGTTGGATAGGGTGCTTGATCGTGATGACTACGAAGACATTGGTGTTCTGGCAGAGGATGGTGGTTCGATGGATGTACTTCTCAGCGCACTGATTCCACTCGTGGCAGCACGAGCTTAATCGAGTGCCTCATGCTCATCGACGATAGACAACGACAAACAGGATAGCATATTGGTGCTGTTCTGAACTGATAATTTCTTCTTGGTCAATGACGGTACACTTGACTATACTGCCAGATACTCTACCCTACGTCTTGAATACGAAGCACTGTTCTACGGCGTCGATTGGGGCCACCTGGAGGGGCATGTGTGGGCCGACTTTACCGGGGAGCATCGGAAGCATAACCAGCGATGCTTGTCGGCGAAGTTGTTGGGCAGTGGCGGGGTCCATGGTGAACGCAAAGTTTTTGACCAGTTCCACAAGGAAGGATTGATACTCGTAGATCCTGTCGTGGTCACTTTCAGTTGCAACACAATAGAGTGCGGAGGGCCTACGCCAAACGGTAACCTGTAAGTGCGATGTTAGAACACGGAACACGGATAAACCATGAGTAGACCTATGCATGCTCGATGTCCACTTCCGAAGGTCATCCTGAACGAAGGGGGTTAAAACTTGTTGACATATCACGGACAAAAACCAAGTACAGGTTGCCATAGACACCAAGCGGAGCGAGCGGCTTAACGGTGTCGTCTAACCAACGTTCGGGGTTGAAATGGCCTGCATCTGCGCCAAAGATCTGGGTATTTCTATCGCTCAGGCTCCGATGAGGAAAGAAAATTTCAAGGGTTGGCACTCACCGATTGTACGCCGCCACAGAAACTACGATGACCTGATGCTTTCGAATAGGAAGTTCTGTGAGTATTTTTCCGGACCTAGTGGTGATGGGGTTTGAGAGCGGGAGGACCTCGTCTCGCGCGGCTTCGCGGGTGTTGTTGTACCTGGGTTGGCCTCGAATCCAAGTTCCAGTAATCAAAATAGACGAACGAACGCGACTGGGTGGTATCGAAGCGTTTCCTAACAACGAATAAAAACGACGGGTATTCCTCGACTAGTAAACGAACCTTCATGACCGCAATAGTGTAGGGCATGGCCTCGAAGTCTGACCAGGTAAACTGCGTTTCTCCCCGTTCGCGAATTGCGCGTTCCGTGGCTTGGATTTCAGCTCTTAGTTTGTTCTGGACATCTCGATGTTGCGTCAGTTCAAACAACGTCCTGCAAGATCGAATCAGCTGTTTTACCAATAAAAAAACGCCTGTGCATACCAGGACAATGTCACCGCCGTCGTCTCCTGTCCCGCTTGCATTATAGTCCTGCGTTGGTCTTAATGTAAACACGCAGCCACGATAACTCAGCCTTACTGCATCTGGGCCAGCATTTCGTCCTCGGTCAGACTTGTCCGGGGGTTCTCGGAGAGATTCGCCTTGACCAAGAGACTCATGATGTCGCGTTTCCGCTTCCCTGCAGCGATCTCCTCAGATTTCGCGGCAACGAGTTCCCGCGCCAGATCGGTTGCAATTTTTTCAACACGGCGACTGTTGCGGAGGCCTGCGGTGGGTGCGTGATGCATGTAGAGCCTCATAAGCCACGCCGGGAGTAATTCCAGAAGGCCGAATATAAAGATAGTTTTCTTGGTTGGGGGAGTGTACATTTGTGGACTAAAAAAGACTCTATTCAGTGGCAAATAAGAAGCCGGGTGCACTTACAGGACGCTGTTCAGGGCCGTAGAAAGAGGATGCTCGCTGTTCAAGTTGTCTGTGGTCCCGAAGCGATAGTCGAAAGCCACTAAGCAGAATTGACCAAAATGTCTCAACGAAAGGCGGCACAATGCTTACCCTCGCCGATGGCATCGAAGAAGAAGCCGCGTAAAATAGCTGGGAGTGTTGACTAAGAGTGAGCCTTTTGCGCCGATGCTTTCTTTCCAGGCCCTTGAAAGCTTGTGTCGCTTCAGAGCCGGCCAATATCCGGGTTCAAGTAGGAGATTACCTGCTATTGACGGTAAGTCGGGCGTAGCGTGGTGTACCGTTGGAGCTCACAGAGGCATACGACAAAAAGATCGGAATATAGGACCGGGCATCCATGGTACCAAATGCAGGCGAGTTGATTCGTCGCTGTCGTTTGTGCGCTTCTCCTGGAGTCACCGGTTCAACCGCGGAACTCTTCTTGCTCAGTGCACTCACCCTCGACATAACTGAGGCCTGGTCCGGTGAACACTCGACTGAGTTCCGCTCTGAGTTCCTGCTTGCGGATATTGTAGCTGGCCAAATGGTGGATGTGGTGGATGGCTTTGGGGTCAGCGACAAAGAGTCGTTCGGTCTAGAGTCAGTCAATCAGCCAGGTCGATTAATACGGAATGCAAAGCCTTGATACCCCCAAAATTCCCTTGACTCGATATACGTCGCCATATTGGGCGGCCCACTTGAATTCGGCCTAAGAATGGCTCTTAGCCTCTGCATGCATAGCGAGAACAACGAGTTTGAGCTTACCACTCCAACCTGGCCCTGTTGGAATTCTGGAAGAGAACCTGGAGCTCGGGGTGAGCAAACTAATGCCTGAGGAGCAGCTGATGTGGTACCAAGCAGAAAGGACTCGGGTTGGGGTCCAGGTAGGTCTGATATCGAAGGGCTCAGTCTGCGTCGATAGACGAGATAGCCTAGGATAATAAGGATTATGATGGGAAGCGCAAAGGTCGGTGGGTCAGGCATAATCTTACCCAATTCGTATGCTGCGACCTCTTTTATCGTGTCCACTGTCGTCAGAGGTGATCGGCGACCTCGTAGAAAAAATAGATTGCACCCCTAAGAAGAAGTCTCTGCCAACCTGAGAATGCGGCCAGGTACGTGGTCTTCCAGCGTCAAGTATGAAGCCTCGTGAATGTGAGAAGAACCCTTTCCAGAATTAGAACCTCGCAAGAACGGCCTTCGGCGCGACATCGACTGTACTCATTTCGGGTCCTCTCGAGCCTGCACCCCATTTCTTCTCTTCTCCACGCACTATCTCCCGCCAGACACTCATGTGTCGTTGGCCCCTCTCAAGGTGTTGCGTTTGCCCATCTCCTCTCACCGTCGTTTCGGGCCAAACACGGCTAGTGATTTTGCGCTATTTGTCGGAGGCCGAGGCGAGAAGGCTGCATGAAGTTGGCATGAAGACGAATATCGACGGATAGTGAGTGGGACGTGATGCCATAATATGTGACGCTATGTGACATGATCCGGCTCCGGCCCGATCTCCTATGGAAAAATGAGCTGATCTTGGGCTGATCTAACATGACAAGTTATAAACTTGCCACTTGTACAATATCTTGCTCATATACTATATGGCTAATGTCTCCCAACATGCGAGTCTAAAGAACAACTTGAAGTATGTACTACTCCATGGACAAAAAGGAGTATACTAATAGGAAAAATTAAGGACTACCCTCGAAGGTTGCTGGTCGAGAAGGTGGATCTGGAGTCATCCGACACTTTTTACGGGCCTGCGATTCGTTATTTCCCGTGATCTTGTCCGAACCACGCTTCGGAGCCCAAGTGGTAGTATTTACACAAAATACCCTAGTAGTAGCCTGTGGCACGGTTTCAGAAAATACTAACTCTATGCTGCACACATGCTCTGTTAGACGATTTTCGTAATGTATACACCTTCTCAAATAGGTAGCTGGCCGGCACCCCGGGCCATTGTTTTTGATGATGCATTGATACTAGTGATGGTATGATCCTGTTGATGGACCGATAAAATTATTGATGCAGTAAAATATAATCATATATCCTGCTTAGGAAATTGATCTGCCCTACTAAAAAATTGATCTGCCTGACGGGGAAATTGATGGCCCTACTCAAAAAATGATGTACCCTCCTAGAAAATTGATCGGCCCTACAAGAAAGTTGATGGCTCTATGGAAAAATTGATGTAACTACTAAAGAATTGATCTGCCTGACTGGTTAATTGATGGCCCTACTAGAAAATTGATCGGCCCTACAAGAATATTGATGGCTCTATGGAAAAATTGATGTAACTACTAAAAAATTGATCTGTCTGACTGGTTAATTGATGGCCCTACTTAAAAATTGATGTACCCTCCTAGAAAATTGATCGGCCCTATAAGAACATTGATGGCCCTACTAAAAATTGATCGGCCCCACTATACTAGACAATTGATGTTCTTATCAAATAATTGATCAATATTTGATGCAGCTAGCCAAATACAATTCATGTATTAATTTCAACAGAATTTTCCTATCCAGGCTTATTAAATATAAATTAAAGATATTTTCACTCAAATATGATGGCATCAGTTCTATCTTACTATTAGTTATCAGGTAGAATTTGCAACTGTTGATGTGATTATATTTATAATTGGTATTAGATTTTATTGATGGCATCATTGCAATAAACCTCACTCACTTTGAGCTCACCATCCAAACAGATAGATGTATTGTCTTATAGGTCATATTTATGCTTTGATTGATGCCATCATTTAGTTTCTTTGTCTGCCCTTAATCCGAGAATATTTTCTTTGTCCTCCTAAATCATGACTTATCAGTTGATTTACTAAGCAATTAATTGATGGCAGCACTGCTGTGTTATTTTTCACAAGTCTTCTGCAGTCTTTGTGTGTCATTGTCAACTTAACCTTCTCCATTCACGTTCAGGTCATCAAAAGATTTTATACAACGATAATATGTACCAAGTCCAACTAGTTATCGAAAGTCCGCAGGATTATTCATCTAATATAGCAATAGCAAGTCCATTCAGTACCCACTCAACGTCCTCCACAGCCTCCAACCAGTCCGCCGAGTATTCCCCGCCTTCCTTCTCCTTGCAGCCCCACCAGGTAAAGAGCGGCGACGAACGTGCTGATCCCATTGTGACCCGGAACGACCAGTTTCTCCCATTCACCAACGGCAAGCTGGCTGGCGGCGCCGTCGCGAATGGGGCGGTCGCGCTTCGTCCTTCATTCGCCAGCGTGGTTGATTTATGATCCACCATTGCCACCACTGTTGCGCATAGGCTGGGACGTTCTTGACTGTGCACTTCCGCCGCGGTCGCAATTCGACGGTTCTGGATCCAATCGCTAACATGTCGGGGACGATGCTTCGTCAACAGCCCACCCAGCCCATTCTTCCAGCCATAGTTCCGTTCTGCCGCGACCAGGCACTTAACCATTGCGGTGAACTCTGTTCCCAGCGGGACCTTCGACACCTCCTCGATCACATGAGCCAGCCAAGCAGCGTCCTTGGCTATGGCCTTTTGAACGTCCAGGAGCGTGGCGTTGACGACCATCTCTATGTGGCCTGTAGGGGCATCCCCATCCCCCATAACAACATCTTCATCTGGCCCTGCGGCCAGTATCAGATGAGTCGGTGGCGAACCAGAGGGGGGTAGAGGTGGATCGGCCGGGCTGGATAAGGTGGCCGGCGCCGGTCCGGCAGTCGGAGCGGGAGCCGGTGCGGGAGCCGGTGCGGGGGCGGGAGCGGGAGCGGGAGCGGGAGCTAGAGCGCTGGCCCGCGTAACCCGAGGAGAAGGAGCCGGACCTGATGGCTTCCCCTTGGCAGGTTTTTTCGAGGTGCTGCCTGTCGGAGCTTCGTCTTCGACCAGCGACCGTTTAAGGTCCTTAACCGCTTGCTTCAGCCCCAAGGATTCCATCAACTTTTTGTTTCTGGCAATATTCGCTTCACGCTCGGCCATTGCTTTTCGCGCAGCCTTCACACCGTTGGGGTCATCGGCGGGGCGGCGGCGGCGGCGGCGGCGGCGGCGGCGGCGGCAGCAGCAGCTTCGGCGTCTTCGTCGTCGTCGTCGTCGTCGTCGTCGTCGTCGTCGTCGTCGTCGTCGTCGTCGTCGTCGTCGTCGTCGTCGTCGTCGTCGTCGTCGTCGTCGTCATCCTCATCATCCTCGTCCTCATCATCCTCGTTGTCCTTGTCGTCGATCGCTCCAAGGGCCTCTTGATCGCCATCTCCATTCATGGATATCAGGGAGAGCAATGATTCCTTCGTTACGGGCGCGGTTGTCGAGGTTTCGGAGTTGCTGTCGACGGGAATGAAGTCGAGGGGAGCTGTGATTTCCACGGCGTTGTTCGAAGGAGAAGCGACTTCGGGCTTTGGAGGAGGAGGAGGGACTTGATCCTCGCGGGGCAACGCAGCAGCCGTACATTGCGCAGAAGCTGTAAAAGAATTCAGAGAGCATTCAGAAGATGGTTATTGTTACTAACTGAAGGCCGTCTTCAGATAATCCTTCATTAGTCCCACAACTCCCGTCCCAAAACGTTCCTTGTGCCAATTGGGAAAGGAGACGGGAACGGTCGCTTGATTGACCCCATATGCCAAACTGCCACATTTGTTAGGAGAGGCGCACTTGTACTTAGTAGGGAAAAACTCACTGAACAGTGCGTAAGCTACCCCCATATTGTGGGATTGGCCCGCCCGGCCATGAAGAAGACATGTAATCCAGTCGCCTCGGCGATTCCCTTCATGATTCGTCGTAAGAATTGACCCAAGTTATCAATCGCACTATGAGCAAGGAAATTCAGTCTCATTCGCAAAGGCGACTTCGAAATATACGTACTTCTGGTAGTCCCGCGGCGTCTTGCCTGGCCAGGCACGAAGTTTCGCAGCGTATGCCTCCCGATTGGCGGCAGCCTCTGCTTTTAGCGCGAGCGCGGTACTCCTGCTGTCGTTCGAGAGGGAGCTCTTTGAACAGACGTCGAGCAACCTTGGCACGAAAGCCCGTCTTAGGGCCCTTCGTCGGCATCTCGCCTTCCTGAGCCCCGTTCTGCGCTGCCCACTCTCGCTGAACGGTCGGGTCGATGTCGGTCATATAAGACTCGTGCATCCATTGTTGATAGCCTTGTGCGCTTTCTTGGGGGGTGAACATTGGTGGCCATTGCAAGAAGCATATTCCAAATATCGTCGCTGCTGTTGCTATTGCTGCGACTACCGGCGCCTTCAATCCGATATAAGAGCCATCGACGGATTTTCTAAGAAGCAGTGTTAGTCATCCCGCCAAAACGTGCTCGCCAGAAGCCCACACTCACAGGTTTGCTCTTCTTCAAAAACGCCGCCTTCAGAGCTTGGTCCTCGTCGCTGAGCGTACTATCGTCGACCACCACCTCCGGCGTCCAATGTGGTAGAGGGAGTTGCGGCTGCTCGCCCTTCCGTAGATTGAAAGGCACGCAATACATGAATTCGTTGATGACGTTCTGGAAGTAATCCCTCTCCGCCCGTCCGGCCCTTTTGTCGTGCCAGCCGATAGCCTTCAACGTGTTTCCCAAGGACGTAGTCTTCGATGATACCCTTGGCCCACCCGACTTCGTTCTTCTTCTCAGCTGGGTCGACATGCTTGACGGCTCGTTTTCGCTTGGGCTTGCCTAGAACGATGTCTTTGGCGGTGTCGGTGAAGGAGGATTGAGCTTTGCGGACTTTGCTCGTAGCTTTGCTTCGCTCACGGCGCGGAGACGCGGGAACGTTGGCGGATTTCGAGCTGGACGCTGTCTTCTTCATGCCGACACCCTGCTCATTATTGTCAGCTCGTCGCTCGTTCTTTCCCTCCCGCTAGGCTGACTCACCAATATACGACGGCTGTTGTCACTGTTCTGGTTGACTCGAGAGGGATCAGGAGAACGAAGAAGAATGCGGGAGGGTGCAATTCGGGGCAACGTGACTTATCTTGGCTCCTGCTAGTGTCGGCGGTAATACTCCGAAGGTGAAAAAAG